TGGAGCAAAATGGCGCATCCAAAAAAAGTAGATGTGTTTTTTGGTGCACTTACACAAAGAGCTATACAAATGAGAGAGACAAGCAGAACCCCAACTATACTCTCTTGTTTTATCTAGGTTTCTCAATAATGGTAAATATATAATATGCATAGAAGAACCAGTGTCTTCGAAAAATAAAAATAAACCAATTAAAAGCATAAGATAACACCTGATTTTTATTATTTTAATTTCTTCTGTAGAATCTTCATCTAATATAAAACCGGTGTAACATGATTTTAGGCGCGAAAGTAAGATACCTTGGCTTCTTGAGTTCTCATCTAGTAAGTCGGCACCCAAAAGTTCCTCACAAATTGAAGCATTAAGGTTTGTTGGTCCATTGACTGCCTTACCATTAATACACAAACCGAGTAACATGTACACGTCCTCTAAGGTTACAATACATTCACCGGTTGGAAAAAAGAATGTTTGTGTCTCTTGGTGCCATATCTCTTGCAAAGCTAGTATAAACTTTGCATCAATCGAGTAAGACATGATTTTTCTTACATGTTCAAAACTAGAGAGCTCAATATATGGTTGAATTAATTTGTCAGGTGCAACATATTCATGGGAACGAGGACGAAACTTAAAGACTTCCTACATGATTTTCAATTTAAAAAAATTAACAGAGACATTAAAAATTAGCACTTACATAACTCTCGATATTTGCGACAACGCCTCTGTGTGTTTCACCCATTATCAACAGAGCCATTATAATTGATTAAATGTGAATTGTTACTACTGACACTCTAGAGTTGATATTATTTCTCTGCAACAATTATGAATCAAATGATGTATGACTCCATACCTCTAGCTTCCTTATATAGTGAAATAGGAGTCACATGTGAACATTATGCATCGTACCATGTCGCCAAATGAATTAGAAACTGCACTCATCCATTACAAAGGGTCACCAGGCCAATTGGAGACAACTAGGAACCTATAACTTACCTGCACACGTAGTTGATCATGTTTCATGCATGCTGACACCCACATGGCGCCACAGTGTGCTTAGACTGCACCTTGTCGCTAATTCATGTGGCGAATCCTTTTCCCACGTTGTACCTTGTCGCCAATTCATGTGCAAGTTCATTACATGTACCATGCATATTTATATGTTCCCATGCATGCAGACATAGATAGAAACCAAAACAAACAAAATTAGCAAGTCTCTAACAAGTGTTTGTACTATGTCATCTGCACCGAGATACTTTATTAATGTCCACTACAACAGAGAGACATATGTCTCCGATGACACTGGGTTTGGTTTTCAAAACACCGATATTGTTTGATTCACTATCAATAGAAACACAAGTTTCTTGCATTTCAAAGAAAGATTGGAATCGAAATTAGGATTTGGTCCTATAGCACAAATAATATATCAAAATTCAATTTTTTTAAAACCAGCCATGTTAAATTTTATCCACTTAAAGTGAGAGATGATGAAGATGTTGAAAATATGTTCGTTAGTCACGAACATTATGGTTTCAACTATATTGAGTTGTATACGTTCCTCCAACTAAATATTCCATCTCAATAGTCTCAAATCATCGATCAATCAAAAGGCGTAGACTCATATGAAACCGAAATAGAATATTCAGATGAAACTGAACCGGAGGTCAATGTCGTTGATGAAGAAGAAGAAGAAGAAGGAAGTGAGACGATGTTCGATCATCTGTTGAACAACAACGTTGAAGATGAAGAACAAATGCCAATACCTCCAGGTCATGTATATTGTCCGCCTCAACATATGACATGCTTGGACTTGCAAGACGATGATAGATCCGTAGATTTGTTTCACAACCCATATATGCGGCCAGAGAGTGAATTAAAAGTGGGAGACAAGTTTCATACCAAGGAAGATTGTGTACGAGCCATTAAAAAATATCACATGGATAACTTTGTTGATTATAGTGTACACCAAACTGATTCGAGAAGGTATGTCATTATTTGTCGTAATCCACCTTGCAAGTTTTGGCTTGTTGTATCTTACAAAAAGAGAAGCGATTCTTGGAAGATAGCTTCCATGGAGCCACCTCACAGTTGCACTGCCACAAATATTGTTCAGGATCACCGAAAGCTAAGCGTATAATTGATATGTCAAGACATTTTGCCGCTTGTTGACAAGGATCCATCAGTGAAGGTGAGTATAATAATCTCTCATATCGTGACGCGGTATAATTATAGTCCCTCGTACAAGAAGGCGTGGATTGCAAGGACAAAGGTTGTTGAACAGGTATTTGATAACTAGAAAGATTCGTACAAGGGATTACCGAGATTTTTGGTAGCTCTAAAAACATACACACCGGGAAATGTTGCAATCATGCAGACAGTGTCAATATGTAGGCCAGATGGAACTATTGTTGATGGAAATGTCATCTTTCACTGTCTATTTTGTTCGTTTCAACCATGCATAAAAGGTTTTACATTCTGCAAACATGTTATTCAAATTGATGGAATATGACTCTACGGAAAATACAAGGGCGCCTTGCTTATGGTTATTGCACAAGACGACAACAATAATGTCTTTCCCATAACCTTTGCTCTGATTGAGGGTGAGACCGCTTCTGCTTGTAGTTTCTTCCTTAAGAATCTTAGAACACATGTCGCTCCACAAGGCAATCTCTGGTTGATTTCAGAAAGGCATGTTGCTATAGAAAGTGCTTACAATAACCATGATAACGGGTGGCATAATCCTTCTTCTACTCATGTATATTACATTAGACATATTGCACAAAATTTCATGCGTGCAATCAAAGACAATAACCTTCGCAAAAAAATTGTGAATGTCGGATATGCTCTAACTCAACCAACATTTAAATACTACCTTAACGAAATTAGGATGTTAAATGCAGATGCAGGAATCTGGTTGGATAACATTCCACTGGAAAAATGGATAATGGATTTTGATGGTGGATGTCGTTGGGGCCACATGACGACAAACCTTGTGGAGTCCATGAACGGGGTATTCAAAGGAATTAGCAACCTTCCAATCACCGCTTTGGTGAGATCAAACTATTATAGGTTGACATCACTTTTTACAACAAGAGGCGAAAGATGGAATGCAGTGTTAATGTCAGGTCAATTATTCAGTGAAAGCATAATAGAAGTGATGAAAGAGGATACTATCAAAGCCAACACACATGCAGTTACAGTGTTTGACCATCATAGGCAAACGTTCAGCGTACAAGAAACAATGGACCATAATGAGAGGATGCTTAAATTATCCTATGTTGTTAAACTAAACAGATGTTGGTGTGACTGTGGCAAGTACCAGGCCTTCCATGTACATTACTCGCATGTCATTGCGACACGTACACATGCTCGTCAGGATGCATATAGTCATCTATCTAATGTTTACAAGGCGATTAATGTTATGAATGTCTACAACGAAGGCTTCACAGTGTTACCAATGGAGGAATATTGGCCTCCATACCAAGGTGACATAGTTTAGCACAACGATGAGATGCGAAGAAAGAAAAATGGACGCCCAAACAGCAAACGTATAAGAACCGAAATGGATACAACTGATATAATGATGAGATTATGCAGTATATGTCGTCATCCCGGACACAATCGAAAAAATTGCTCCAATATCGGAGCAACATCTGCATCATGATTTACCTTACTGTTTCAGTTGTTGTAACTTAATATTTTCATATGTTAACAACAAACAACATATACCACGAACTAATAATACACAACACGTACAACACATAAAACAGTTACGGAAAAGAAACACAAAACATTCCTAACTGACTATAACAATCAAACTAATTTCATTCGGTCCAAACATGACTTCCCTCGCATCCTTGTCAGTCTTAATACGAATTCATCCACGCAATCGATCAAGTCTCTCGATACTTCAAATTTTTTCTCCTTCACCAATGTCTCATTCTAACCACCGATTCAGCTCCTCTTAAACTGATTGAAACTTTGTATATTCCAATACAGCATGTCCATCGGAGGCTCTCTCTCGAATAGACGATTTTTCTCCACCGGTGATGATATATGTTATCAGTGGAACAAAGATATAAGATGAGTTGTGGATCTAAAGGATCAGAACACCTCTATTTATAGGAAAAAAAATTCAATTTCTATACAATCTCCAGATGAATTGACAACTCCCTTTTGTGTATTACACCAAGTCGCCAATTGAATTGAAGACTTCATGAGGTATCTCCAATCCAATTGGCGACTCCACTCATGCCCTAACAAAAGATCGCCAATTGATATAGCGCCCTACATACATTCAAAAATTCTAATTGGGGGTAGTTTGAAAAATAGAGTATTTTGAGAATTTTTTTTGAAAAAACGAGTTATTTAGGTAAAAAAAATTCTCTTTATATATAATATGCATAAAGAGGATTACAAAAATACATATCAGAGGTCCTTTAAAAAAATTGTATATTTTAGTATAAAAATGATGAAGTGTATATATATATATATATATATATATATATATATATATATATATATATATATATATATATATATATATATATATATATATATATATATATATATATATATATATATATATATATATATATAACACGCAAATTTCTAAATATTTAAAATATCTAAAGGACCAAATCAAAGGACCCTTATTTTCTAATTTATTTAAGCATTAAAAATATATTGGTTTTTAACCAAAGGCAATATACCACATGTTAAATGGTCAATTATAAGCAAAATTTTCGAAACGTTCCTAGTAAACGGGAAACCGGAAGTGATAAACTACTACTACTCTACTAGCACAGACTAAAGAGAATGAGTATCTACATATTTCTAAATCGTGAATAACTACTAATCACAAAAAATATACACCATTAAAGCTTATCTAATCTACAACATTGCCTTCTATGTAAGAGAACCAACTATTACACAGGCATGAAACCCTCTTTCTTTCTCTAAGCTACTTCAATGAAACTATCATCATTCTGTGGAAAAACACGAGTGGCTCAAGACCACAACCACCTGCGTGGCCGATCAGTTCTGGAGTTGGGCGTCACACTAATCCTATCTGCATTGGTGGACAACCATTTACCAAAATCAGGAGATTGAACAAGCTCTTCCAAGGCTTTTTCAGTGGACTTCTTTGTGAACTCATCCCATTCTGCAGCTGAATATTTTCTTCTTTCAGGAGTAGTGTGTATGATGGATGGATATAACTCCTTTGTCAGCGTTTTATGTAGCGACCTATTGCCTGGTGACACAAATTTAGCATGTTATGCACAGCTTATGTTGAAAACTGAAAAGTGACATAATTTGTATGGAATTCAAAAGATAGAGCGAACCTCGTTCAGAAGATTTGCAAGGTGTTATTGGGGAGCTTTTACGTTGTATCCGATTAAGTGAAGAGTCCTTTATATTGTCGTAATGCTCGTCATCTTCATCATCAAAAGGTGACAAATTATAAACATAGGGTCTCCTGTTTTTCTTGGGTGATTTAAATAAACGCCTGCAAAATCCTCTCATGATCTCAGACTGGTTTATAGTATAATAACTTAAAGGTCAAAAGACTCACGACTGGTAAATGTAAATTTAAAATATACATTAAATTACTGTAATTTACAACATTCCATCAAAGATAAAAAGTTACAATCTCTTTGAATTTAGCTCCTCTTAAATAACCTAAGTTCACTTTAGATAGAAAAGTGGCATGTCTACCAAAAAAGGAAAAGGCACTGCTGCTATAAAGTTTTTATCATGGTGAGGTTTAGGAATGCATGTCTTCGTTAATATCTCTTCTATCACAATTAATATCTCTACACTATTGAAAGGCATATCTTCGTTATTGGTATTGGAAATTATTAAGGAAGTCCCAGAGTATAAAACAGTGGACTAACCTGGGCAAGCGGCGAATGAATCTCAATCTAAGCACCCTTTTCAAAGAGGGAACAAGTGAGCCACATATTAATGCCGATGTTCCCAGCAGAGGATCCATAGAACTCTGGAAACAACATACTCATGTTAAATTTGTAACCATGTGCTACTACAGTATTACTCTATGCAGGTAGAAGAGATGCTAAAATGGAGCAAGAAACCAACATAAAGGAAATATGAAGATGTAAATAAATAAAAAGAAAAATCAGAATGTTATAAAAGAAAAACCTGAAGAATCGTAATAGCGGCCAAAATCCTTATGGCCCATGCAACAAATAGAGCAGTGCTTAAATCCACAGATCCCTCTTCAGTCAGGACAAGCTTTTTGACCACCCAGAATCCTAACCAGGCCCCGGCTATGGCAACAAAAGTGAGCAAAAATATTGCCAGCTGCATTTGACATTTCATGAGTTAAGCATTTAAAGACAATCAAGACGAGAAAGGATACTGCATACTTATAGAAACCGTGTAACAAGTTCAATTTAAAGGGTAACTGCAAGAAAGAAGAATGTTCACTATGTACAATGGGATCAACTCTATAGGTAAAATTGTTTGATAGCTGAATATCCCAAATTTGGAGTCTATTCAATCTCAACTTCTCTTGAGGCATATGTTAGTAATAGGCCTCTTATCAGGGATCTATGTTAGAATGAAACCTGGAGATACAATTAGGCTCGGAGTAAATTGTTTACCTAGTATATTATAGGCTGTTTGTTTAATGATTAATAACTGCTTTATGTAGCAGTTATGAAATGGGACAGCAGTTTGTGGTTATTAATTATATTTTATGTTGTTAAGAAATGTGGTTGGGCCTAACTCAACCCTAATCCCCACTTAGGGTGGCCCGATAGTGGAAACCATAGAAGGTGACCCACCAGATCTTAAACGAGGCTCTTGATACCATGCTAAGAAATGTGGTTGGGCCTAACTCAACCCTACAAAACCGGTTAGTAGAGTGAGAATTACCCCACTTATAAACACGTGTTCATGCCATATATTATATGATGTGGGACTCTTAACATATGTAAATATAAATAGGAGTTTAGGACAGACGCAGGGATGAGGATATTTTTCAATAGGTTTGGTTTGGGAGAGACTATGCTCTCTAAGTCCTCGAGATTTGTTTAGTTTCATGCAGTTTCTATTGCAATTTGTTAGTTTATAATTCTCTGTTCTTGTAATTGCCTCTGTTGAACAGTCTCCACAAAGAAGAAGAATAACCGTGAATGTTCAGTTCGTACATTCGGGATAATATATTTACCTTTTGTAATCATTGTATCTACTATACAGTGTCACCATCCAACTAAAAAATTGAAAAACTGCTACAAAAATAAAAACACCACTATCGTACTTGAAGAGCCCAACGCCCCAGGTCTTACATGCATTCTCAAACCGGACATGCACAAGTCCCCGTTCTTTCTTAATAAGTAGTTTTACTAAAGTTACTTAGGATCTATGGTTTGTGTTAAGCTTGACTGTTAAATCTTTTTTTGCCTTACTTAGGATTTGAAAATCAAATATTTATACAAGAGAAAGAGGAAGAGAATGATTTTGACAATATGAGACTAACAAGAGAAAATAGTTTGCCGATGGGGAAGAAAAGACTAGGTAAGTATGTAAAAAGAGAAAATACACTTTTTTCCCCTTTTTGCTTTCTTTTCTGATTTGTTTCTTTTAAACCCTTCGTTAATTTCTTCTTTATACACTTTCAAAAATTTTAAAACACAAACAAATTTGAAAGCAAATGACAAGCACATAATGCACAAATGATGAGGCCGCAAGGAGAGGTGCCTGTCATTTAAAGATTTTACTCAAGAGGGGTGAGTTAGTAATAGGATAGCATTAAGACTAGGCAGCCGGCAATATTCTGTTCTCGTTGTTATAATAGGAACTATTCATATGGGTGTGCCAAATATCTGAACTGGAGGTGAGATAGAGGATATCTTTCATTTTGGGCAGTTTTAGACTCTTTCATATACTAAATAATATTCTTAGCATTTCCATTATGTTCATTTGGGTCATCTACTGAATTTGTCTAATAAACTAAATGTAGACACTGTAGAGCAGCTAGAGTTGCTACTGGGTGACCAGGAGATCACACACAGGTTTAAATCGTGGAATTAGCCTTTTGCAATGCATGATAGACCCATAATGGATTTATTTTCAGTGTTCATATCTGTGCGTTTACTTTTTCTGCTCTACTGTATTTCAGCATACTCAGGTTCTGTTGATTGGCCCTGCCCCCCTTGCCTAGTACTGCCAGACAGCGGCAATGAGCTGTTGTAAAGTGATAGTGACACCGCAAAATGCACAAGGCGATTACGTCACTAACCAACTTCCCCAAGTTACTGCTCACAGTTTCTAGTCACTATCCCTTCAGTGATTCATTTTAATGGACTGCAAACAATTTTAATCAGGTGCACACTTTACACTTAGTTAACCAATAAAAGATTATATTGCTGGCGATTAAAACTGCAGTTGCCAGTTGCAACTATCATCTACTGCAGGATTATCCTATAAACAATAATCCTATCACTGCAACGATTTCATCTCTTTGATAGTATCCTATAAACTATTCTCTCAACAGGTTTTCTTCCACTTTCTCATATTTTCTTCCATTTTCACCTTGTTAGTATCAAAGAGGTAAACGGATCAAAGTGAATGAACAAAATAGGGATTGGGACCCAAAGTTATTATTCAAGAATCCTCTGATAAATATAACCATATAACAAGAGTGTACAAACAATAGGTGGGTTAAGAGCAACTTTCTCGCCTCAAGTCTGAATGTTTCTACAGGCCTAACAAACTCCCCCGTATTTTCTATGTTTAGACAAATATAGTTCCGTTATCATCTCCATTCTGTTTAACCCCCCTCGGATGCAACCATTTTCCCATGGGCCTCCTATTACACCAACAGAAATCTTACCACCCTTCAATGTATTGTATCATAGCAAGAATTTTTTCGGCAGGTGATAAGTTTAAAGACAAAAGAAGTGAGCCCAACCATCATAAACATAATTTAGAATACAAATGAATAAAGTCAAATAAAATAACAAAAATTAGTGCAGATGTTTAAATAAGTTAGCAGAAAGCATGGGGATGACTTACATACAGGATTATACATGTCTTCATCAATTCCTAGCTCCGAAAGTATTGAACGAACCAAACCAGGAATATAACGGAGGAGAAATGTACCCAAGCCAATCTGATTAAAATAATATTTGAAATTATATGATCCACATTCATTATAAAATAGTATAAACGATTGGAGAGAAGTGTACTGAGGTTACACTTACAGCAGATGAATATAAAAATATAGCAAAGGAACTTTTCCGGCCAGTAGGAAGAAGTTTCATTCCCTGTCAATTAGAATAGGTAAATTTCACATTAAATCAACAAGAAATTTACAATTGCAATTAAATATCAGAAATTGGTTGAAATTGGATAAATCTCAGGTTTCTCACGAATGTTTGAAAGTAAGGCATCAAAGTAATAATCTAATAGAGAAATCGAGTCTAAACCTCAATATCAAGTAACCATAATTTAAAACTAGATAGGTAGATACATAAATTCTAGTCTTTATCTACTTGATATTCAAAAAATTATTCCTCCAAACTACCGGATTGACTAAAATTATAAAATCAACAACACAGTTTCAGCAATCAGCAACATCAGTGTTACCTTAACCACTGGAATCATCCAAAATAAACAAAAAACAAAAAATCATCAGACAAGATAATTTACAAACAGGGCAAGAGAATGAATGCTTCAAGAGGAGGAGTTGAAGTTTAAAATTTGGTCAATTGCTCCAAAAAAACTCATAATTAACAGAACATAAGATTGAATGTTAAACAATCCAAATTTCAATAATTGAGGAACATACTAAGTTACCTGATAAAGAATGATCAATATCACAAGAATTATTCCAATTGCCATTGCACTACTATAATAAAATGCTAAAGACTGGCTTAAAAAGGATGCCGAGCTCATCAGGGTAACACCCAATATTAGCAATATAATGCGATAAGCAAAAAATTCTGCAAAGGTGGGGAAAATGTCATATTAGTACTAGACATAATTGTTCTTAAAGGGTTATCAATAGCACTTATGCAACTTTTAATCATCAACCAAGAGCAACTTACCTTCTTCAGCAGACACCTCAAAATTCTCCAGTGTTGAGCCTACCGTCCTTATATCTAAGAGCTTATGGTCAAAAGGAGACATTGATCGAACCCAAGATCCCTTGGCAACTTTCTCCCACTGGCTTTGTGGGCACATCCCTATAGCGAGAGATGCATTCCTGAAAAAGATTAAAAAAGTATATCTCTGGAAAATTTGTAAAAAAGGAAATCCTTGGGGAAGACTTCTCATATTGATTCATTTATATTCAATAACAGAGAATTCAGTATACACCCCTTAAAATGATTGATTGTTATTACCATGTACACACATCGATACAATAACCATGTCTAGTTCCATTCTCACCAATAAAAATCAATATTTACTAAACCCATGATAAGATGCATGACGATAGATAGACCAAACACAGTAGACCAAACATACTCACCTATGGAAGCAAACCTCTATATTTGGCACGCGGACATTTGAATTTGCAGGCAACAACTTCACTTTCACAGAGTGAGCATATTTTCCCAAGTTTTTAAACCTCGACCGACCGTGTAAATGAACTCTTTCAACAATAACTGTAGCACCAGGCTTGGAACCAGGCGAGTTTCCCACAGGAAAACCACGGGATAGCTGCAGTGTAGTATTCTGAATAATAACTGCATACACACACGCACACAAAAATGGAAACCAGTAATTAAAAGTTTCAAAATCATCAACGAAATTAGGGTTTTGTTTCCCTAAGGAGATATCATCCTTATTTATCCTGAAAATGTACATGAAAAACTCTACCAACTATCTCGAAAGAGAGAAAAGTAAACGTGCAACAAATACTCTAGGAAGGAAAAGCACAACGAAACCCTATAGTTGAAGAATGAAAGGGGAAAAACGAAGAGAAGAGAAAATAATGCTTACAAAGGGAGTGTTCATTTTCATTGGCTAATACCAGAAGTGCAGAAGCACAAAGGAAAATCAGGCGAAGAAACGAAGCAGATTGGGAAGTGTGAGTGCGCGCCATCGCCGTGCCTGGGATCGGAACAGTGTATAAACGGTAAAGACGAAGAAGTGGCGCCGATTTCCAAATAAGCAAAAAATTGAGGGTAATTATGCAATTTCAAACATAGTACTACTCCTATCAACTTTCTTTCTGTGCACTTCTTTTTACCAAATTGACAAGGGAAGTCACCAAGTAGGGTATTGTGGGTTGGTTTAACTATGTTAGGGAAATTTTGAAAAGAATTGCTTATTTAGCTAAATGGTGAAAGAACACTGTATTAAAAGATCCAAAAAATACTTTTATTTCAAGTCAAAACAAGTTTTAAATGAAATTCACTGTATTTTTCTTAAAATTTAGTTAAATGGTGGAAGGTGTGTGATGTTGTTTGCTGCTTAAAAGTTGATGACAAGATGATCGAGGATGATGAGAATCATAATGAGATTATAATGAGATTGAGTTTTTTTCTTTGATAAACAAGACGATGAAAGTGATAATAAAAAAGATAATAAAAGGAATGAAAATATTCAAAGTTCCAACCATGAAAACATAAAATTTTATATATATATATATATATATATATATATATATATATATATATATATATATATATATATATATATATATATATATATATATATATATATATATATATATATATATATATATATATATGTTCTGAACTAGGCCGACGTTTGGCCTACTGTCGAGCAGGTCCAAATCCCACCAGGTTGAAAGGCTTAATAAGACCTCACTGTCGGGCAGAACCCTGTCAGGCAGAACATTTTTTTCCATCGGGCACAGACCAATGGCAGTCGGGCAAAACTCATCCACCTCGGGAAGCTCATCGGGCCTCCCCCACGTTCTCAACGTGTCCCCTAAGCGGAGACACGTCATCAGGTAACTATTTGTGTCCTGATTATTCGGTCATCCGCCTCCCGGATAGCACGGAACAATTACACTAGGGCGAAGACCACATGCTGGTCTTCACGACGCCACGTCAGCCCTAGCAGTTACCAGCATTGGGCCTGGCAGCCCAGCCCAACGCATAATAATTATTGGTCCTGCGCTAGGGGCTCATTATAAATACCTTCTTCCACTAGAGGGTCAGGTAATATAATTCTCACTCATTTCTCTTTGTACTTGTTATCACTCTGTTTCTCCCTTACTTTGGCATCGGAGTGTGTTTCAGGTACACCCCCCCCCCTTTGTCCATCAAGTCAATAGTTTGACAGCTCAGATGCATAGATGGCCAACGACATCTCTGATCAGGTACGATTAGTGGCGCCGTTTGTGGGAATCTAAAGCTTCCCCGTTCCTCCGAGAAGAAGAACCAAAGCTTCCAACTTCAACTTCTGAGATCATGACTAGCCCACGTCACGACGATGCTGTCCACAATTCCGCCTTCGCCCCTATCACCAACGGCAACGACCGGGTTGGGTCATTCCACGCCCGTGAGGGTGACGTAAGGGACGGTTGGATTGCCTCCCCTTCGTCCGAGGACGCGGCACTTCACATCGCACCTCGAGCGATGAGCCCGACTATTTTCCAGCCCGTTCCTACGCCAGCTGGAGCGGACCCAACGATGACTGCCATCTTCGCAACCATCAACCAAACTAATCTGATGTTGTTCCAGCAGAACGAGCGCATCGGCATGCTGGAATAAGATAACTCGTCTCGCTCTCCCCCGCAGAGAAATCAACGCGAAGACTCCCGGAGCCCCTCGCATCGTCAACGGGGGCACCAACCACAACTGGAGAGGCCCCAACCGGTGGCCTCCAAGAAACGCACCCGATCATCTCCCCGAAAGGAGAGGCGTTCCCCGGTCCCAAGAGCGAACAGACCGGAAGCCCCCAACAAGAGGTCGAGGGGACGTAATCAAGCCCCTCGGCACAATCCTTCACCCTCGTGCTCCCCAGCCCGCAGTGACGATGATGATTACAGGACCCCTCTCTCGCGGGAGATAATGGCAACCCCCATCCCCCACGGGATGGAGAAGCCGCCCGCACTTTCCGCGTACGACGGTACCTCGGACCCGGACGACCATCTGGAAGATATCAAGGCCATGCTCGACTACCAAAACGTCCGAGGAGTCATCAAGTACAGGCTCTTCCCGACGACATTAAGGAAGGGAGTCATGGCTTGGTACAAAATCCTAGAACCTGAGTCCATCAGGTCGTGGGGGGTCCTAAAGGATCTCTTCTTGCAACATTTCACGGTGTCTCGACGACATCCGAAGACAGAGGCCACCCTGGGCGTGATCATCCAAGCCCCGGACGAGCCCCTCAGGAACTACATCGAGAGATTCACGAGGGATGTCGTCCAGGTAACGACTTCAGACGACATGAAGTGTTACCTCCTAGAGCAGGGCCTATGTCGCGGTTCCAAATTCTACGAGGTTGTGGCAATCCACCGGCCACCACCCTACGAGGCTTTCTCGAGAAAGCTTGCCACTACATCCGGTACGAGGAGACCGAGGCTGCTAATTTGGCTCGGGACTCCCGTAACCGCAAAACCCCCCGCGGGTCCTGAGAAGAGGGAGCTCCGTCCCCCCGGCGAGGGGGAGATCGATGTTGATACGATCGTCCCCGAGAGCAGAAGGGCCCCGCAGTCCGCTTCACTGGAGACACGGTCCTAGTCGCTTCCCGCGAGCATCCTAGCTGAGTGCGCCAACTCGGAATTCGTCCGGGGAGATGTCTGTTTCTCAAACTGGCACTCCCCAAGGTCAATGTGGACAAGTCCAAATACTGCCGCTTCCACCGCGGCCACGGGCACATCACCGAGGATTGCATCCACCTGAAGGACACAATTGAAATACTCATCAAGGATGGGCACTTGAAGAGATACACCGGGGGAAGAGATGCCCCTCGACAGGAGGCCCACGAAGCCAAGAGGGTCAAGGACATTCATCCTCCCTCCAACAAATTTGGGCTGCAGGTGGCCCTCAGCATCAGTCGGTGTGAAGACTTGTTCTCCCTGAGAGTACACAGTCTCCCTACCGGACACCCGCTACCCGAAGAGCCAATACGCCTCGTATGCCCCAACACCCCGAATTTAAATGGAATATTTTAATTAATTAATTTAATTGAGAATATTCGTAGTTTGGTATTTTCGGTGTTTTCGGTGGCTTTATGAATTATTGAGGAATTATGCTTTTTGGAGTATTTATTTTGGAATAATAGTATGTAATATGGATTTATTAATATTATTATGAATTAAAATAAATATAAGGGGAATAAGGGTAAATTAGGCATTAAGAGGAGTTAGTAAGGATATTAAGGGAAATGCCCAATTGTGTGGCCCAAGTCTAAGTTTGAAAAAATAGAATTCTGAAGGTTAAGGATTCATTTTGTTAACCGTGAAAAGAAGGAGGCCAGAGCTCTGAGTAGGGAGAAGTGAAGGCAAAAGCTTCGAAGATTGCCGGAGTTAATCGTGAAAGCTTTGAATCGGCTAAGGTATGGGGAGTATCGCATTTCGTGATTTTCTATGTATGCCTTTTGGTGTGTTTATGGTTGGTTTATGATTTAAGATATTTTGGATTGACGGTGGGAAAATAGGGAATTCGATGATAAGGCTTGAGGTTAGGAGGAATGGTAGGTAACACCGAATATTGACACGAATTTAGGAAACCTTATCGGACTGTTTGATGTATAACATGAGAAAGGAAACCTTAGGCCTTCGTGGCCAAAACCTTGGATTGTGATATGTTTGACCCTGTAGGAATAGGAATATCCAAATGTGAAGTAACTTTGATGTACTCAGAGCAATTGCAGGAAAATAGTGTTTTAGACAGTGCAAATGTTGCCAGATTGGCCTAATAAACTATAGATGTTGTGTCGTTATCGCCGTATGACCTTAGAGATGTTTTGGGGACGTTTTAGGGGCATTGGGTATATGAATCGTATGGGTATTTTGGGTAGAGAGCATGTCTGATCGTAGTAGGTTGTGTTGTTATCACGTTGTTCGCCTAGCGAGCAAACTAGCAAACATTCGCCACAAGACTCGCCTAGCGAGCAAGCCAACGAGCGTAACAGAGTTCGCGAATGTTGATCGTGTGCAGCAATGCCATGATGTTTGATTCTAAGATTCCTATGATGAGTTACTATGAGTATGACATTGAGGTTGCATGAGTAATAAGTGTTAGTATTGAGAATAACCGCGAGTGTAATTGTGATGAATTAATATGAGGCAATGTGAGATGATATTAGGGATTAATATGATGAATTAACATGAGTAGAACTGTGAAGTTTATGTGATTGATAGGCGATAGTGTGAGGATTACCGTGAGTATAATTTGATAAATTAATATGAGATGATATGGGGGTAGTATTATGAATTAATATGGGATAATATAGGATAATATGATTATGAGCTAATATGTGATTTATATGTGATTATATGATGACATGATGTGTGAGAATAATTAATATGATGGATTATGATGATATGTTGTATGATGAGTAATATGATGAATTATGATGATATGTTGCATGATGAGTAATATGATGAATTATGATGATATGTTGTATTGATGATTAATATGATGAGTTATGACGTATGACGAATATGACAAATATGATGAATATGATGAATGATGATGCATCATATATTGTTATTATGAGGATTACTGTGACGTGTGCATCATGCATTCATGTGCATCCGGACTTCGGTTCAGGACCTCGATTACTTTGGCTTCAATTCCACTATGTGGATGTGAAGTATTTTGATGTGCTCTGATCCTATTGATAAAACTAATATTTGCCATGCTTACCATCCATCAATGCACTGTCGTTAGTTCAATAAATTTCTTGAATGTGTTTTTGAGTTTACATATCTATTCAATAAACAATTTGTTATATATAAAATATGATGATTTTGCTGGTCTTTTACTTATACCCATGATTATATGAAGCCTGAAGGTTAGTTGATTTAAGATAGAAAACTACTTTTTATTCTTACACGGTTGTTCTTTATAAAAGTAACATTGTATAATTTTAAAGAACTCAACATGTTTCCTACATGAG